CGACCGTGATAGAGGAAAAAATATTACATCAGTACTATGCATGTAGCAATGAAATCACAGTCAATGAAATCACGTCACGATACCCCACGCGACAGAAAAAAAAACGGCGTGGTAACACGGAGAATATTCTCCCACCCCCCTGTGTTATTCATGTGTTATTGTGTTCTGGGAATATTCTTGGTGTTATAATAACACATCAATAACACATGAATAACACAAAATAACACATGAATAGCATGGGGGAATATTCCCCCGTGTTACCGTGCCGTTTTTTTCTCTGTCGTGAATATTCTCCCGTGTTATTCTGGTGTTATTGTGTCATGAGAATATTCTTGGTGTTATAATAACACAATAACACATGAATAACACACAATAACGCATGAATAACACCGGGGGGGGGGGGATAATCCCCGTGTTACCGCGCCGTTTTTTTTCCTGTCTCGTGGGGTGTCGTGGCGTGATTTCATTGGCTACACACGTTACTCTACATGCGTAGTACTGAAGTAATATTTTTTCGTGATAGAGAAAATCAACAAGCCGTGAGAGAGCCCAAAAAAAAATTGAATAAAAGAAGGAGAAGTAAGAAACATATTTCATACTTGTTATTTTTTTTATTAAGAAAGAAATAATAAAAAAAAAGAACTTATCCAATAAATAGAGCTGTTAAAATGGAAAAAATATTGCATCAGGACTCTGCACGTAGACTTACGTGCTCAGTCCAATGAAATCACGCCACATGGAGGTGATAAAAAAAAGGACCGGTAACACCAGAGAATATTCCCCCGTGTTATTCAAGTGTTATTGTATGTTATTCAAGTGTTATTGTATGTTATTCAGATGTTATTGTGTTCTGAAAATATTCTTGATGTTATAATAGCACAATAACACATCAATAATGCTTGAATAACACACAATAACACATGAATACCATAGGAGGAATACTCCATTATGTTACCAGACAGATTTCATTTTATTTTTCTGTCACTGCCACGTGACATGATTTCATTGGACTCCGTATTTAACTCTACTTGCAGAGTCCAGATGCAATATTTTCTTGTTAAAATGGTTTGTTTTTCGGGAACAGCTCGCGTTGGATCAAGCTCGTTTTCGGCTCGTTCGCTAAGTTAATGAGCCAAACATAAATATTTTTTTGGTACTTGATATATAAATGAGGTGAATACGAACAAATATTTATTCATTTGTGCTCGACTCATTTTTGCTCTAAATAATACATCAATTATATATATGAAGACTACAAAGAGTTATAATCAATTAAGGCTATTAATTAAAAAAGATAGAATAAAAAATATTAAATTAGATTTAATTGGTCTTTTAATATAAACAATAAGATTTAAATCTTGCCCCAATACTTAACATCCTACGACTACGGCTGTGTGATTAGGGTTGTCAAAAAGACTGGTTGTTTGCGAACAGCTCGTGTTCGGCTCGCTAAGCTAAACAAGAAAACACTTTTGTGTCGAAATATATATGAGTCGAACATCAACATTCATAGTTCTTTAATGAGCGAACTAAGTCAGGGCTAACTCTTGTTTACACCGCTAGGCATAACAAAGACTTCTGTTTATAAAATTTGAGTTTGAAGGGCTATATAATTTTAAGCTTTTTGAAACCCCTTTGACTAAAAAGCCCCACCAACCCCAAAAAAAAAAAAAAAAACCATACCTACTCCAAACACCAAAGGGCCTCGGTGTTTCGTTTGTCCTTCGGTTTCCGACCTTCGAACGATAACTTCGAGAAAGGCGATGATGGCGAGATCAACGACGAGACCGACGGGTTTCTCCAGCAGAACCCTAACCCTAACTCTAGAAGAGCCTTCTTCCTCCTCAACCCAGCCACCTCCGCCTCAAACCCTCGTCCTTCGCCTGAAGCCACCAAAGAAGAAGGTTACCTGGAAGGAAGACACGGTCGACAACGAGTTTCTCGGCAGGAAGAGTTCTAAAAAGTGCTGCATCTTCCATAAGCAGAAGCCTTTTGATGAAGACGAAAGCGATGACGAGGAAGGCCATGGACCGAATTGCACAGATGGCCACAATCACGGAAAAGAGGGCGGGTCGATGGGATCAATTTGAATTGATACATGATGATTTGATTGTATGTTTTCTCCCCCTTTGAACCGTCATCCATGAATCTTGCTGTTATTATGAGTTCGTGGTTAGCTGTGAGAATCTTTTGCTTGTAATTTTATAATTAAGAAATCAATCTATCATTTTGTTTTTGAAGTTTATCTCTCGTTTTTTTTCACTGATTGAAAATGGCTTGTACTTCAACTAGTTATTTTCTTTACATCTTACTTTCAGAGCAGATTTTATCATCCTGTCATGTGTCTTATTTCGTTATATTTTTTGCTTTGGTGTTGGAGAATTGTCTATGTATGTAAATGATTAAGCATGCTTTTTGTTAGTTGGTTTGTTTGTGTGAAACTGTGGGATTTAGTATTCACAAGCGAGACACCTAAGTCATGCATTGAAAAAATAACTTCTCTTTACGATGAACAATTATCTAGCAGTGACAGAAATTTAGTTTATTAGATGTATTGTAACAATCCGAGCCTTGAAACCTTAATCGGGATCATCAAAAGGTTACTAAGGAGAAAAACTCCTTTTTGAGAGGTTAAATCAGTCCAATTTCTTGGATATTCCTCTTGGCATGATCCAAGAACTATTGCGTAAGTCAAACTATCTTGGCAATTGGTTATTTCTATAATTTTTAATTTAATAATAGAATTATAATCTTAATAAGTGTCAACCAAAAGGTTGCTTGGGAGATAATCTCCTTTTTAAGAGGTTAAGCCAAAGCCAATCCTGCTTTCCTGGATATTCCTTTCAGGCAAGATTTGAGAACTATCACCTCAGTTGAACCGTCTCGACAGATGGATGTTTCAATAAGTTTTAAAATCATTCAACAATAGACTTCATTTATCCATTCATAGTGTTGGCTAAAAACACAATAGCTAGAGTCATTTGTATTTGAAAAATAGCATTATGGTAAAAAATTAATGTAAACATAGAAGAGTAAAAACAACACATCTATGGAAGTTGAAAAATTTCAAGCCTTCAGGCGTAGCAAAGTGCGTTGGCATCCATTAAAGGCCAAAAAAAAAAAAAGAAAAAAGACCTCATCTTTCGAAGCTGACAGCATGAACTACTCACGTTATAGCACCAACCTTCATCATCCAAGTCATGAGGGTGAATGGCTCATGTGATAGTATTGAAGTTGAGATCACATAGTGTTTTCCACTTCACTTGCCAGCATCAACCTTGTCTGCGTTCGTCTTAGCCGATGGCGTACCTTGCGTGTACATTCAACTTTTAAGATGCCCCAATAACAACTAATTATAATAATTAAAATTAATCAATAATATTGATATTAATTTTAAATCTTTAATTTTATAAATTAAAATAACGCACTACAGGGGTTATGCGTTATTATTGTGCATGATGTAAATGACATGCACTAATCATCCCATGAGTGGGGTAACTAGACATTTATTTGCGTTAAGTTTTGGAATTATGTGGGTAGGCACCCTTGAGGGCAAATTAGTTTAGTAAGAAATAGATCTTGTATGTCATTCATGACATGTTTATAGCATTCATTCATATAATGTTTCATGCTTTGTAGTGTTTCATTCCTTTTTACTTCTAGTACTTCCAGAGCGGAGCTCTACTATTTATTCGTCCTTTATCAGATTGGTTTCATCCTCGTAGTGTTGTCAACTACCTTCCAGAAGATCTATTTCTAGCTTAGGCTTGTTGGCCATATCACATCATTTTTTGCATCAAAAAAACATTCATAGTATTTTTGTTACACCACCTTGCATTTCATTCATTTACTTGCTCATTATATGAATAGCTCAGTATTTCATATAAATACAAATATTCAATGCAATTATCATAACAATGAAGTAGAACTTTGATGTTTATAAAGCATATTAATGGGTATATCATGTCAACTAAAGTATTCGGTGCAATAATCATAACAATGGAATCAAACAATAGTTCATGATAAAGTATTTTAAAAATAGAACTATGCTAATAGAGCAGCAGGTTAAGAAATCCCACTTCACTATATCATTGATGATTAATATGGTTGATCTCGAAAGCTCTGATCTCTTTGGTATTTACAGTTCTACCCACTTCCTCCTATGCTATGAAACTTAACAAATGAGTATCAATTTTCTTTACAAAGTTTCCCATGTACCTTCAGGTGTTATCCATCCAGTTTGATGCTTACCTCATTACATTTATCATTAACGGTATTAATCTTTCTGATTTGTGTACTACAATTGTGGGGTCTACCACCACTCTAAGCTCTTTATTTCAAAAGCACAACAACAATCAATTAACTTCGCCTCTAATTCTCTTGTGAAACTTGAAATTACTCATGCAACACCCGCATCGACTGGCTAAAGAAACTCCCCTTAGCTGATGTGTTAGGTTACTTGGCCATTGTCAGAAGGCTCCCAATTTTCTCATTTAATGCCTTAGAGACACATTAGTTTTACACTCTTGGAATCAAGGTATTACAAATAACATGGAGCAATGTTTAGGCTGCCCCATTTAGAAGATCACAAGTTTGAATTGGAGATGACCACTTCATTATGCTTTGTATAAGTGAGATTTAAAATTGAGTTTATTAGATAAGAGTTGACAGCAGCTGTTAGCCATCAAAGCTCTAAATTGGAGATGGCCTATTTAATATATATTGTCATTAGTGTTGGGAATGCATTCAACCCTTCCTAGGCCTTCTAATGATGGAAACCTCTTGGATCTTGCATGTCATTATTTAGGCGTAAATTGGTTTGAATTTCTTTCTAAAGGGTCTTCAAGGTGTTTGGAGTTGATTAACGAGAGAAAATTAAATCGATATAAATTCAATATGAAAAGGTTCATGGTTAGTTTAGTAATTTTAGTCTTACATATTATATGTGTAAAATCACTTCGATTAGAGGAATGTAATTTGTTTTTAAATTTCAGAAATTGAATTTCATTAAACAATCATGTTAATGTATGGTGATGAAGGATGACTCAAGTCTCAGTTTAAGGTTTTCTAACGAAATTATTATAATTCACAGAATGAATACATGCAAAAGAAATTGAGGATACAGATTAGAAGCCACCTAATAATTCAACGTCCTGCTTTCTCTAAATGTAAACAAACATTAGAATTAAAGCTCAATTGTTAGCAAAATAATCTAAATAATCTGAGAAATATAGAGGAACATATAAAATCAACAAGCAATGTGAATTTACTTTTCATAAATTAGACTAAACAAATAAATAAATCCATAAATTATATTTTCATTGTCAATTTCTTATCAAAATCAAGAGCTCCAAGCTTTTTAATATCAAATTATGGGTATGAAATTGTCATGATAAGAAAATCAAGCATCATGTGGGTGTGAGGATATATTTTTTCCAGTTTCTACTAGAGTTAAACAGTCACCTCAAACTTACTCTTGAAACAAGAAGAGAAATTTTATTTAAGTTAAAAACCAATTAATTACATGCCTCATAATAATAATAATTTAAGTCTATGCAATATGGCTAGCATAAGATTCATCTTGCAAGCAACGTTCATGTTGAGTTTGTCAGCCAACCCTAATATTTCTAGGAAGTTAAGTGGACACTGCCCCCTCAAGGCAATAATTCAAAATTCAAGGAAAGTTGAATAAAGTTGCAATAACATATGGAAGAATCAGTGAACTAGATAAAACCAAGACCCTTACCCAAACCATCCTATTTGTTTAGCACATCAATTTTTCTATATTGATAAGTTAAACATGAACTTAAATTTGGCAATTTTTGCAAAGTAATCCATGATTAACCACAAATTGATTTTCCATGTCAGTGGACTAGCTATCATTGTAATGCATCGTTACTAGTAGGCATAATCCTCTCATCTAGAATACCCTCATGAACAAGTTCTATATAAATATCTCATATAGAATTGGATGCAGAATCACGAGAAAGTGTTTTAAAGGGAGAAGAATTTGAGTACTCTTAAATAAAGTTAAATAGGTGCAGAAGATCTTTAATATATATTAGAATTTTCTAGAACTTTCAATTTGTAGACATTTGTTTCTGTTCATTGTAAAGTTTTGAATGTTTTCATCTTTGTATTTAATTTCCTAAATGTCCTTGTTGGAATTTTTTGGAGTTAAATACACATGATTTTATCATTAATTTAAATTCCATATTTTCTAGTTTCATCAGTAAAAAGCTTGTAATTGTAATAGTTAATAGTCAATTTTCTGTGAACACTCTAGTCATGTAATGCATTAAAATAATACGAGGCTAATAAGAAAATGATAAAATATGATAATGCGTTCTAAGAAATTCTGCTAATGACTATCACAAATTCTTGTAAAATGAAATACTGATGTAATTGCAAGCAAGCAAACCACACAATTGTGGTATGCTTTTGTGGATGGAAAACTCAATTCAAATAGTTTAAAAGTTAGTTATGATGAATTATCAACCTTTAAGTTGGACCAAATTGATGAAGTTTTATATTTTAGATTTCTTTTGAAGCATTGATGCAACTTAATTTTCTCTATAAGATTATTTTAATGAATCGGAAAATTAGGAAACTAAGAATTAAAAGTAATTTTCATATCAATTTGACCATCTATTGTAGGAATACTATCAACATATAATTCATTGAAAGTCGCATTTTAATCTTGCTTAGTTGATCAGATATGACTGATTCAATTTCTTATGTTGGCATATGTTAGATCTCCATCAAAAAATTAGGTTCAAATAGGTATGATCCCTTGCTCATTTTTGTTTTCTATAACTAATTTTGACACTTGTGCAAGTACAGATTTGAGCTCCCACGAACGACCTAACATGGATGCAATTCTAATTTCAACAAGATCAAATTTGAAAATCATATTTTGCATCTATGTATATATATAAGCATGTTCATTAACTATTATTTTTTAGTTGGATCAACTTTCTCCATAAATGTTTCTTGCATTAATGTATTTTTCGTAGGCTTTAGACTAGTTTTTATCAATTTTTCCTTGGAGATCGACACAGGCGCAACAATCTTAATAGTGGAGTAATTGTAAGCTTTCTTAATATTTAAAGTGGTCGTTTGGGATAAAAAATTTTTATTTTGTTTTGTTTATATTTTAATTCAAAACAAAACATGTTTGATATGTATAACATGTTTAGTTGTTTTTAAAAGTATTCAAAATAATTTTTAGATGTTTTTAAAAATAAAAAATAAAAAATAAAAACATGTAAAAAGTTAACTAAACAAATATATTTTTAAAAGAATAAATTGCCAAAATAGTCTCCTAAGTCTTTAAATTGAGTTTAAAATAGTTCTCGTGGAGGGACTAGTAGAGCTTAATTTCAAAATAGTTGAGGACTATTTTGACACTTCTATAAACTCTGAGAATAAAATGGCCCCATGTCAAAAGTAGTATTTTGGTACTTTAACTAACTTATTAAATAAAAGCAAAAAAAAAAAAAAAAAAAAAAAAATGAAAGACATCCCAAACAAGCCCTAAGATTATGCATAAAGCCTCATGCAATGTTTGTAGTCAGCTTTAGCTTAGCTCATGCCTAATTTTTGTATAGTTAGGATAAGCTGGTTCTTGACCATAACATTCAAAACTGGTTCTCGTTTTTTGTTTTTCGTGGTGGTCTTATGAACATTGATCAATTAGGTACAAGGGTTGAAGGATTTTGCGGGGGTATTTACCTACATTCTACATACATAAATATTACACAATTTTTATGCATTTACATATCTAACACCAAAGCCTTCATATTTTACATGCATGCATACTAGTCATATTTTTAATACTACCTCAAATAATGCATTAAATAAAAGAAGGAACATAAATTTGATTTGAAAAACTCGAGATGGGAAAAACCATTGGCGGAGGAAGACATTGAAATTACAGGTTAAGAGTTTTGGTTAACATAAAGTTAAACTCAGGGGAAAATTAAATAAAAGGAGGTATTAATATACTTTGCAAGATCCCTGTAAGAAAAATATTCATGAGGAAGCCAATAAACAAGAGCACATGAATTGCAATCTAAAGATTATTATAAGATTAATCAAATGATGGAGGACTTCAAACCGTATGTCCAAAGTTTTCTTCCAAGTCTTCAATTTATTTGCTCACAGTTTCCTTATGAAATGAGTAGAATTCACAAAATTCAAATCACAAATTTAACATTTTCTACTTAGTTATATTCAATAATTAAACTTTTGATGCTTAATTTATCCTAAAATTATGTTTAAGCAGATATCTCATGTCCTATTACGGATGAAGATTAGAATCATTGGGCTTAGGCAAGAGGTTATAATGAAGATCTTCCCTTTGACTCCTATAGAAAACAAGTATCCCAAACTGTATAACCCTTAGAGGAGGTAGAGATAATAAAGAAGAAAGAGGAATAAATTTGTTTAGAAAAACTATAAACTGATGCACGGGAAAAGATAGATATGACTCTCATTCCTTATTTTGTCTGGTGAACTTTAAACTCTGCTAAATGTTTCAACCCTTCTAATGGATAGTGCAATTCTACCATCCACAATACAGCCGGATAGTATCAATAATTGTCTTGAAACTAATCACAGATTTGGTCCACTGAAAACTTTGCTCCTATGAGAGAACTGTAAGTATCTCTATAAGATAGCATACCATTCATTCATTTATCTACTAATTTCTTTTTCAATTATTGTTTTTGATACAATCAACAAATTTTGTCATTTGGCACAAATATCAATGCAATTAGCGTGAATCTCGGAATATTTTTTGAGCAAAAATATTCAAACTCAAATTAAAAATCATCTAGATTTTCAGTTTCAGCAACCTTCCAGTCAAGTTGACTGGATAATGAGATAAAAATAATGACACCAAAATTGGTTCAATTCGAGTTAGATCAAGCCCAAATCAAGGCATTAAAATTTTTTTTGGAAGCTTTGGGTGGCTAATTGGAAGGTCATATGAATTCCAAATTTGACGAGCTTATGTCGATGAGACTAATCTAACGAGTTCAAGATTACTCAATTCTGACATTGTTAAGGAACTTAAATGTCTACAAATCTTCGTCCGATCATGGCAATATCTCTGGGTTGTCTGCTTTCTTATTTATAGGAGAGGCATCTTGGACTCTATAAATAGTCATACCCCTTTCATAAAAGGAAGACTGAGACCGAGGACGGAAAGGCAGACTTGGAGCTAGAGCTGGACTAGGAGGAGTTGAATTCCAGTGAAGTTATGGACTCAAGATCTGATGAAATTTATTGTTTCTGCGATTGCCAACCATCTTAGACCACTCTCTCACCGATTGCCGTCAACCACCATTGACTGCTCCCTGCTCAATGACATTGATAAATCTTATGATGTAATATGAAGATTGTGTAACAATGCACCCCGAAGACTGTGTAATGATGCACCGCAAAAACGATGTAATAAAGCACACTAAATGTTGTGAAAAATAACGACAATAAAGCGAAAAATGTAACGAAAAATTTACACAAAAAGAATAGACACAGATTTACTTAGTTCGACAATTTGCCTACGTCCACGGAGCTGCAGAGGATCTTATTACTTCGAGGAATCACACCGTCGAGCATTTTGATGTTTACAAGAAATCTATATTTTCTCTTTCTCTCTCCACCTCTTCTCTCCTCCTTTCTCTCCTTCTCTCTCTACCTCCAGGTGAAAAAGAAAGGAAAAATTAAAGATCTTAATTGCTACAGAAAGGAGGTGGTTTTGGGATGATACTCTCGGGTCTAATTTCTGCCTATTTATAAGAAGCAGAAATTATTGTTTCAGCAACCAGGGAGGCGGGAAGCTTCACGCAAGAAGTTTCCCGCGGTTCCGCGTGCGACGCAGTCCGCGTGAGGCGCGACGCGGAGAGGAGCGTTGCTTGAGGCGCGACGCGGAGATGAGCGCGGGACGCGTGAGGCACTTTGCGGATAAGGGAAGAAGGAACAAGCTCCATATCTAATAATTCTCCCACTTGGAGATTGAGACGCTGACTGCATCACCTGCTAGCTGCATCATTTGTTGGCTGTATCAACCCCTTTTCCTCAAACATGATATCCTCTACCTCTGCAACTCAAAGTCTTTATGTTCACGCTAGAAGACTAACTGAAATCGAGCACAACTTTAGTTTCTCAATAGTAACCCCCTTAGTCAACATATCAGCAGGGTTCTTGCTTCCACAAATTTTCTTAAGTAACAGCTGTTCGTTGTTCAACAAGGATCAAATGAAGTGATACCTGATATGAATGTGCTTGGTCCTGGATTGAAAAACTGGATTCCTAGCAAGGAATAAAACGCTCTGACTATCACTGTGGAGAGTGTCTTTCTGAGCCTCCTTACCCAATTCTTTCGGGAATCTTTGTAGTCATATCATCCCTTTAGCAACCTCTGACACGACAACATACTCAGCTTCTGTAGTAGACAGAGAAATTGTCTTCTGTAGATTTGAGTCCCATGACACTGCAGTACCACCAAGAGTACAAACATAACATGTAGCACTCTTTCTACTGTCAATGTCTCCAGTTAAATCTGTATTAACATAGCCTTGTACGTCTAGGCTCTTTCCTGAGAAACACAAGCAGGTTTCGGAAGTTCCTCCTAGGTACCTCAGGATCCACTTTACAGCTTCCCAATGTTTCTTCCCTAAATTACTCATGTATCTGTTCACAACTCTACTGCATTGGCAATATCCGGTCTGGTGCAAACCATAACATATATAAGTGAACCAATAGTTGAAGCGTAAGGAACCTTACTAATGTAGTCTTATCCCTCTTCTGACTTGGGTAACTGATTTTTGCTGAGTTTGAAGTGATTGCCCAAAGGTGTGTGAACTGGCTTAGCTTTGTCCATATTGAACCTGCTAAGCACCTTTTTCACATATTCAGCCTGTGAAAGCCTCAACGTGCCTCTGACTTGGTCTCTAACAATCATCATGCCAATGATTTACTTTGCCTCTCCCAAATCCTTCATTGAAAAGTGCTCTGACATCTATTTCTTCATATTATTGATCTCATAAATGCTAGCCCTTGCAATAAGCATATCATCCACATACAACAATATGATGATATAAGAATCGTCAAATTACCTGACATAACAGTGATTTATCTGACATCTGGTGTACCCAGCATTTTGCATGAAATTATCAAACTTCTTGTGTCACTGTCTGAGAGCTTGTTTTAGACCATATAAACTCTTTTTCAGTTTTCAAACTGAATCTTCATTTTCTGGTACCATGAGCTCTTCAGGTTGGCGCATGTAGATGTCTTCTTCAAGGTCTCCATGAAGAAAGACTGTCTTCACATCTAATTGCTTCAGAAATAGACCTTCGGTAGCAAACATAGCCATTTCATTTTTGTCGTTGGAACTTTTTTTTTATCGCATTTATGATTATTTGGCCTATTGCAGGTTAACACAACTGGAATACTGGAGCTGGCTGTACGCTATCAACATATCTTTCCGGCTATGTTCAGGGCTTTGATTGATTGAAAGCTAAATCTCTCAACCATTAAGTTCAGGTGGTTTGCATGACACTGATTCATTAAGAAAGTATATTCATGCTGCATTGTACTTTAATTAATGATATGTTATATTCAACTTAAAAATGCTTCAATAATTTTATTATTCATATTTCGTCATGGTATTTTTTTCTTTATTTTCTATAATCATTGAAAATGCCTCAATATTTTTATAAAATCAAAACATTTATATTTACAACATTATATTGAAAATGTCATCTTCTTTATCTTTTTGAGAGTAATATATATCTTTTTATGCATAAATTTATGACAATAAAATATTAATAAATATAAATATCAAATTTAGACGTTAAACATATAAATAAAAATATATAAGAGCTGCGTAATATGCAAGTAAATTTCCCTCATTTTATCAATTATGAATTTATCATATGATTATAATTAGGATTGTCCAAGAGGCTATTCATGAACAGCTCATGTTCGATTCGTTAAATAACTCATATTTGATTCATTCGCTAAGCAAATGAGTTGAATACAAATAAATTTTTTTGGTGCTCGGTATATAAACGAACTGAACACAATGTATTGTTCGTTCGCTGAACACAATCAAATTGGTTCATTATTCGTGAACAGTTCATGTTCAGTCCTATAAGCAAACAAGACAAACACAAACATATTTTTTGAGCTCGATACATAAACGATCCAATCACGAATAATGATAGTTTTTAACAAGCCAAGCCTCGGCTCGTTTTCACCCCTAACAATTGCATGAGTGATTATAATTGTCAAAATGACTATTTATTCGTGAATAGCTTATGTTCGGCTCTCACACAAATTTTTAGTGTTCAAAATATAAATGAGCCGAACACGAATAATACTATTTTTTAACAAGCTGAACAAGAGCTTGAGCCCACCTCAACTCGTGTTCCCTAATTATAATAGCTCCATCTTCCAGCATGGATCATTCAAATGTCCTGCTTGTGGCTCCAGCCTCAGTTCATATTAAAAAAACGTTCATCAACAACTCAAATTCTCAAATTCCAACAATAATGAATTTTCATGTAAGTTTATAAAAATTATGTGAAATATAACTAATAAATAGAAAAACAAATACACTTTTATCTCATTTACTGACAGCAAAATAACTCATAAATATTTAAAATACACTTTATTTTATGAATCATACAAGAACTTTTAATTATTCAAAGTACATTGCAATCAAAATCCACTAATCCAACAGCCCCTTAATTTCTAAACCCAAAACTCCAACCAGAGTCTTCATGTTCAGTTAATCTAATCAGAGGAGTTATCGCTTGACTGAATAAACATGAAAACTCATTTCATATTTGAGTAAATAAACACAATTATTCTGCCTTGTTCCTGACTGATTCCGAAGACACCTGCAAATTAACAATAATTACTGTAAAATGAAATATTTGAAATTGCGGCTAAAAAAATAGCGTAGAATAATTAAGAATAAAATGAGAAGATAAAACAATAAAATGATTAAAATTTGTTCATTAAAAAAAATGTTTTAAAATCAATGTAAAATTAAAATAAAATATTTCAAAATGAGAATTCATAAAACCAACACAACTGGGATAAATTAAGAACATCAACTTTCTAAATCATATTAACACAACAAGATATTAGAAGTTTTAAATACATACCACTCAATTCTTAGAAAAAATATTACATCAGGACTCCGCACGTAGATGAAATCTCCACACACGTGAAGGGTGAAAAAAAAAAAACTGGCCCGGTAACACAAGAGAATATTCCTCCCGTGTTATTCAGGTGTTATTGTGTGTTATTCAAACGTTATTGATGTGTGATGTGTTATTGTGTTGATGTGTTATTGTGTTATTATAACACCTGAAGTATTCCCAGAACACAATAACACATGAATAACATACAATAACACCTGAATAACATGAGAAAATATTCCATAGTGTTACATGTGTTGCTGAGAATATTCCCCTGTGACGTGATTTCATTAGATTCTGCACGTAATTCTACGTGCGGAGTCCTGATGTAATATTTTTTTCCAATTCTTATGTATTTATATATCTAACACCTAAACTTTAATTTTTACATGCATACCACCATACCTATTCATGAAAGGGTGTATTTCACTTTTGAAAGTTAAAATAGTATAATTTCTTATGTCACATGAAAGATTTAGGTACTATAGATGTAAAAAAAAAGCAATTTTTAGCTGTTAGATATGTAAATACATAGGAATTGGGTGGTATATGCATGTAAAGGCCCCTAACATATTTAATGCCTAAGTCCTTAATGTTTTCACTAAAATGGACCAATATTAAGCCTACTTCACCCACAAATATCAATTATTTCCACTATTATTAGTAATTTAAAGAAAAAAAAAATAGTTCAAATATAGTTTACCAAGCGAGGCAGCGCCCTCCAGCCAATATCTCTTCTGAAGAATCCTTGAGGCCAATCAATCACTTCCACTGCATCGTAAGCTCTTCGCCTCGCTTCCTCGATATTCATCCCCTTGGCAGTGATGCCGAGCACGCGGCCGCCAGCTGCAACGAAATTGCCATCTGAGTCGAGCGCCGTTCCGGCGTGAAACACCTTCACCATGGAAGAAACTCGCTCCGCTTCTTCGAGATTTCTGATGATTGTCCCCTTCTTGTAATCCCCCGGATAACCTTCGCTTGCCATTACAACCACCATTGCTGTTTCTGATGACCAATTCAATGAAACATTGATCAGCTCTCCTCTGCAGGCGGCGAGTAACAATTGTGCTAAATCTGATTCCAGTCTCATCATTAGAACCTGGACTCACAAAATGTTACAGGATATTCGTATCAGTTAAATGTCGAAAAGAAAGGTAGATTTACATAGATACCACTCAATTATTATGTATTTACCTGGACCCAGAAAGGCTGCATTTAGATGTGATGTGAGAGATTGGGAGGTATAAATATTATATATATATTAAAAAGTTGGCTGGAGGCTATGTTACGAGCCCCCAACAAACCTCATATGTCTAAAAATATTCAACTTCACCGCACACTTGCGGATTCAAACCCCCGACACCAGAAGACTTAGAACTGACAGCAGGGAACACGACACACACACACACACATTTATATATGTATGTATGTATGTATATGTATAAATAGATAGAGAGATATATAAAGTCAATTTTCATATATATTAACATTTATCAAGGTTATGAGAGATCATGTAATATATAAAGAGGTTTAGTTTTATCTATATATTTCAACATCGCATTCGTCCATTATAAGTAATATATTAGTAAAAAGCATGTACTTAATTAATGGAACTCTAGTGCTTTTAGAAAGGGTTGTGATGGATAAATGTGTTTCCTCACCTTCGCGATCTATGCTAGAACAAAATGCCCCACAACCGAGGATACGATGGCTAAACAAACAAGGGTGAAAAATAGGCCACATCATCATCAAGATGCGCACCGGCCCATCATGGCCCTCTAGGATAATGGATGAATTGATGAAGGTTTCAAGTTCTAATGTTAATGTTACTAGAGATTTATATTGGACCATCACATTTGTATGAGAGGTTTTCAGATCAATTTTGGATCCTAAGAATTTGATGGATAGGTCATCATGAACTTTGAAATGAACCAATTGTGTAAAAGCTAGGGGACAAGCATTGCATAAGGACATGGTGAAGTGCTGAGGATGCGTCTTGACTTTCTTGATCAAACTATCAAAATAGATTCTAAACCAAATTTTTTTTGGGAAATGTATCAATTGCCCTCATATTTGTATATTTTGTACAGAAAATAGGGCAATTTGATTAATCTCCAAGCAAACAAATAAGATATAATGGATTATCTACAATTCGAGAGGTAGATAGATCTCTCCCAAACCCTAACTCCTAAGGCTCAAGATAACAATCTAATAGCATCACCTAACCCTAACATATTAAAGCCCTGATTATACCAAACAATAATAAATAATAAAAGACTAAATTGCCCACAGGTGCTTCTGTAACAAATAACCAAAAAGATATCTCTTTGTTAGAAGACATTCGAATAAAAATCTTCGAAAATATGAATTAGGCAATGAAAATGTCCAAATTATAGACATTTGCCTTATAGTCAAGTACAACCATAGAATCTAGGTCAGAAATTGGTTTGAAATGGGCATATTGGCACATCTAGACAAGTTCAACAAAACCAAGAGGACCTTAGAGCTATACTGAACATAAAAAAGGAAGTGGCTTCGGCCCAATCCGATTCAATAGGAGATGCACGACTAACACATTTGGAGTGGTAAAATACTGCCACAATGAACAAACATAAGAAAGTGTTGCTCACTTCCCATTCGAGTGGGAAATGAGCCAGAATCACCTCCCAAAGGCTGTGGAGAAATAAAAGGATAATATGAAAATTAAAAAAAAAAAATCCTTACCCAAATATACACCAATAGGCATTACTTAAAATATATAGAAGTAATACGTAAACAAAAGGACTTAAAGATCTTAAATGAATTTCTTCTAAATGTAAATAGACAAAAAAAACTAAGGCATTAAAAAAATCAATGCAACGATACTATAAAAATACACAACACCAACCTGGCATTCTGGATCTCCAAATCTCACATTATACTCGATCAGTTTAGGCAGCCCTGATTTTTTCTCTATCATAAGACCTGCATACAACACACCAACAAATTTGCAGCCATCAGCAGCCATTCCATTTACTGTAGGAGAGATTATTGATTCCATGACCAAAGCCTGAAGCTCTTTTGTCAGCAAGGGAGCAGGGGAATATGCCCCCATGCCTCCTGTATTTGGACCTGTATCACCATCACCAACTCTTTTATGATCCTGAGCTGACTCAAGAGGCAGAGCATTTTCACCATCCACAATAGCGAAGAATGAAGCCTCTTCGCCCTCTAGATATTCCTCGATTATGACTCGAGAACCAGCGGAGCCAAAAATATCTTTCACTAACATCAAGTCAACAGCCTCAAATGCCTCTTCTAAAGTCATGGCAACAATGACTCCCTTCCCTGCAGCCAATCCATCTGCCTTGATTACAATAGGAGCTCCTTGTTTTTTGACGTATTGCTTTGCCTCAGAAGGGTCGGTAAAAGTTTGATACTGCATAAATTAGAGATTTGTGGAACCATAGAGGAAAGTGAGTTGAAGATGAAGAGAAAATAAATGAAAATGAAACTTCTTTTGATTCTTTTAGTTTTCCAACTCCCGAGAGAAAGTCACTAATGCCATCTACGAGTAGAAGAAAATATAATGCAAATGCCAAGCTTATACAAATTAAATAAAAAGAATGTTATTGACCTCTGACTGAAGAAAAAATATAGAGATGGTGCTGGAATAAAGAATATAAATTAAGAAATAAAAATTAAATTTTTAATTGCAACAAGCCTTTAGTAATCTTTTAGGATAATTGTGTGCTAGAAAATTTTTGAAATTGAAGTAAAATTTATACATCATAGCTTAACATGAAGATCTAACACGCACAGAAGATGAAAAGTGTTGAATGAGGAAAAATCAAAGATTTTATGCGGAAAACCAAGAAATAAGAAAAAAAAAACTTGCGGAGTCTAGCTCATTCAAAACAATCAATTATATATTTCAAATTATAGAATTTCATTCTTCTCTCTAGGTAGGGAATATGGCATTATATAAATTGATTAAGTTGCAAAGATTAAATAGCAACATATTGGGAATAATTCCAAGGCTATAACAACCACTAATGGCGGTTGATGATGATTGCCAATGATTATTGCTTTCAAATTTTCTTCAACGGTGTGAACTCAGCTTTTAGTTTTTTCCCCTTTCATGTAAGAGTATATAATCTGCTCAGAAGAAAAAATAAGTTGTAACCACAGTCCTTGATCAATAACTTCGATAATTTCTTTAATATGACTCTTCTAATATCCTCTATCTTGTTCTTGTAAGAAATGATCTAGGTGACCTTGGTGCATCAAACATTACATTTTTTGTAAATGACTACATCTTTTTGTTGAGTCCCTTTTGCATGATGAAAGTGACAATATTTGGATCAATCTCTCCATTAGGATTCTTTTAGAGGTCTTAGCCACTTGAGATGTTCATAATTTTAAATCTCCATCAGAATATTAAGCATGGATGTGTTTAATTAAGTATAATTAGTTAGCACATTGACTTTGGTGAGAAAAATGTATTTGTTCATGTTTTTTTTTTGTTGGTAGATTTGTGTAACACCTTCAAGGGTATTTTTATGTTTGTCAAAAGATTGCTCAAATTACTTTCAATGTGTGACGATGGCCTCATCAATCCTAATTTGTGCTTTTACATAGCGAATAAGAGATAAACATAGAACCAAATTAGATCTCACATTAAAGATTAGTAGAAAAGCACGGGACGAAGACCTTCAAGAAATATTTCTCGGAATAACGGGGGATCTACTCTTAAAATTTGACGAACCTGGAAAAAAATCTCAATGTTGAAAATGTGGTACTATTATAGAGTTTTAAGAGGGTCATTTTAATAAATTTAGCGAAAATCCTAAAACATTATATTGAACAATCGGCTTCTATTCCTTTGATCATAGATAATTCTTTTAGTATTTAAAACTCAAATTAATGACCTCATAATTGAGTAATCTTTGACTCATTGGATTCCTCTTGTCAATATGCTCAATCTTACTGCAAACATGTCAAATTTGATGATTATTTGATCATTCAATTAATATTTCAAAGCTTTCAATCATAATTGAAGTTCTTGATTCAAGTTCATTTGGGCTCAAATCAAATCGCTTTCAATATCATTGGGTTCGTATTAACGAGATTTTTAGTTTGACCGTAAAGTTGTTGAAATGAGAGCTTGAATGATTGTGAAATTAACTTTTATTTTTTTTTTTTGATCCAACATGCATTGAAACATATACCCAATCAAATGAATTTTCTAATGACATTAAGGATTAAAAGAATAAATGCCCATAAAGCTTTTAATTCTGTGCTTTTTTTTTTCACTTTTAAAAGCTAATTCTTAATCAAGCTTTCAGAATCGAACAGCAACAAAACACAATGCAAATGTTAAAGTAATACACATATAGCTTGAATGTCAAAATGTATAAACTCACTTTTGCAGTGGGAATGCCATATTTATCACACAACTTTTTCATGAAATCCTTAGAACCCTCCAACAATGCAGCCTCTGATGATGGCCCGAACGTGGGAATCCCCGACTTAACAAGATCATTCGCGAGACCAGCAACAAGAGGGCCTTCAGGACCAATTACCACCAACCCTACGCCCCATAATCGACAAAAAGATATAACATTAGCACTATCAGATATATCCAAGTCTGGTATACAAGTTGCATCCCCAGAGTGAGCAATTCCAGAATTTCCAGGAGCGCAAAAGACTTTAGCACAAGAGGGGGAACGTTGTAAAGAATAGCACAGTGCATGTTCCCTTCCACCTCCTCCAATAACTAGTGCCACCACCCTTTCTTCTACAATAAGAAACATGGCTTGTCACATACTCCCATAGAAGCTAGAATGTAATAGTAGTAGTATGCAAAAATGGGAATATTGCATTGGATATCATTTACTGGTGATTACTTGTTGCTAATGAGATAGAAGAACATAGAGAAGAAAAACGGGATAGATTACAAAATAGTAAGACTCGGAATTATGCAATCAATCATGTATCAAAGTTTTAATCGCTTGTTCATAACAATTATGGAAGCAATATCTATAACTGATACTTGTTAAGAGAGATTTGGCATGGTCGTGGGTGATAATTTTAAGAATTCACTCATAAATTTGATTTTAAAAAATTATAAAATGTGCTTTACATCTCAAGGATGCAAGGCAAGGAAAACATAAATTGCAATAATCCCTTGGACACCTAAGCAACTTACTAATAGTTTCAATAATACCAAAAAATTTATGCCTTTGAGCTGAAAAATTGCTGTACAGTAATAGTTTTCAAAAAAAAAAAAAATCAAAATAAAAAAGCTTCCAATTGTCTGTTACATGAAACTAACCTCTTAAGAGATTTTATACATTCCTTGCATCTAATTAAATGTGTGTAGGAAGCAGATGAAGAAACAAGTCTATTTATTCATCTCCAAAATTAACATCAAAACTAATTGGTAAAAAACATGTTAAACACAATTATTTGTTTTTGTGGGTGCTAAATGTTAGAAGTGGCAGTAATTGTGTAGTTAAAACTTTATGATAGTAACTTAAGAAACTATTTCCAAGCTACACTCAGATTATCTTGTATTTCAGTTCTAGCTGCGTAGAATGACATGAACATTCTGATAAATAACTGCAAAAAGAGATTTTTAACTCTGAAAAATCATAGTGGGAATGTGAAGCGAGAGAGAAGGGTGAATGCTGATAGAGGAAGAGAGCCTGAGTGTAATGATTTCTCACCATAAGCGTCATTGTTACCGTTGCCTGAAAGGTTATTTTGATCCAACCCAGTATAGGAGTTCTTGGAACTCTGTGGTATAAATTGAAAACCAGAGAACCGGCCCGGCGCATCAACACTGGAGGACCAAAGAGAACCGTGGAACTTGGAAACAGAAACTGAAATTTTGAAGCTACTTCGGAGATAAATCTTGAAATTTGTACGTCTACAATCCGGCAACCTTATGCAGCTCCCGAGGTACGCGGAAGCACAACTCATAATTGCCTATGGATATCAACAAGTATGGCACCTAAAAAGGAAGGGAGGAGTTTTCTGTCGACGGGTCAAAAATGCAACTAAAATTCACATAAAATTTTAATCTTTTTCACTAAAACATCCAAACACATAAATTATTTCTGCTACAAAGTACTGATTTATGCATCCGCAAGTCTGATTTCCAGCATTAGCTGAAACGCAAATTTATTCTCGAGCGGCTGTACGTGATTAAGAGGAGCTGAAGCGCACGTAGTGGGGTGGGAGGAAGGAGGAGAAAGAAGAGGTTTACCTTCCTCAGTGGTTTCTGGCAAGAGCGGAGTGGAGGGGTACAGAGATGGCTCAGCCGATCCCCCCGATGCCTTCCTAGCTCCCGTCGTACTGTGGCGCGAGGGTTTCAGGCACGGGAGAGCGGGAAGGGAAGGGAAGCGAAGGGGAGGGGAAGGAAACGGGTTAAAAGGGTAGGGAGGTGCCAAAAATTGATCCACTTGGGTCAATTCGATCACAGCCCCCAAAATTTTTTTGTATTTGGGTTCACCATTCTAACTTATTAATTTTTCAAAATTTTCAAATCGAGTTCAATTTGACCTGCTAAATCGAAATGATCTGAAGCTGATTAGTCGATCAAATTTGGCGTGAGATTGATCCATCAACCACAAATTGATCCGAGATTAACTCAAATTTGACTATAATAGTTGTTATAATTTATGTTAAATATGAGTTGGTCAGATGAATATGAGTCTGATTCAGTTGAACTTTTTGACCCATTTCATATTTGGGATGGGTTCAGATCAATTTGGAGCTATACTTGAATCCAAGCTATGAACCCAATTTGACACCTCCAACTAAAGCCTCAAACTAACCTAACTCTCTATAAGTTACTCTAAGCACAACTCTATAAAAGCTGCCGACCACTTGCCATTCGTCCCCCACTGCTAACCCTAACGAGCTTATTTTCTATTGAATTCAACTTCCTTAAACCAAATGCGAAAATGCAAACTATTGTATTTATTTTACACGAATCAAATAAGTCTAAAATATTTAATATACAATAGATTACTTTAACATTGCATTTTTTTAAGCAAACAAAAGAGCCCTTAAAAGTGTTTTATAAGTTTCCTTTAGAATTTTTTTTTTAATTCCATTTAATTTTTTTAATAATTTTATTTTTTAAAATGTAATTTTAGATTTAATTTATTTTAGTTGATCATTTTTTTTCGACCCATTCTCCTTGACTTATGTTCTATGAATGGGTCAATATAGAAAAGTATTGGGTTGAGATCGCATAAGATAGGAAGGATGCAGTGCGGCAGGTACACATAAATTTGTGTATTTTAAATTTGTCTGAATCACACAACATTGGAATGAATGTAAAATAGCCTTAAAAGCATATTCAAAATTCCCTCAACGCTATTTGATTGGCTAAAAAGGTAATGCAATGCAAAAGTAATGAATTATATTTGGCCTATTGTGGAATTGTTTTGGTTTACTATAAAATAAATATATAACTTTTAAAACTTTTATTTAGTTCGAAGCATAAGAAAAAATAATGTATTTTAAAGCATTTTGTGGTGGTGACAGCAATGGGTTCGGTGATGGTTGTGGCAAAAGAGGCGACGGGGATGGTGGCTGGTGATGGCGGCTAGTGGCGTAGACAATGGTGGCTGCCACTATTACAAGAGGCGGCTAATGGCAGCACAAGTGCACAATGACAACAAATTAGGTAAAGTTGTGTATTTGCAATACGACTAAATCTAAGAAATTTCAAATATAGAGAAAATGAACTAAAGAAGGAATTCTAAATTCATTAGTATCTTATCGACAACTTATAATTGAGTATAGTACCAAAATGATTCTCTGCTATTTACATGAGTCTGTTTTAGCCCCAAAATTTATAAAAATGTCAAAATGATCCTCATACTCTTTAAAATAGGTCTAAAATTATCTATATACCGAATATTTATGCTGAAACTATTCTGACACTTTAACCATTTAACAAAACCCCTAAATCTTAAAAATTATGCAGAAGGAATGCTACCAAAAACTTTAAATATTTATGTTAAGTTTAAAATTTGTGAAATAAAAAAGAGCCAAATCCACATATTCTAAGTTCTCTAAATTTTTTTAATTTATGGCAAACCAAACCTCTAAATTTCTAAAATCTCTTCATTAAAATACTCGCACCAGATAACCCCTACAGAGTTCCTTAATAATGGCGACGGCCTGACCAGAGAGCCAGGGTTCCGAACCCCTCGTAGTAGTCCAACACGAAGCTGCAATGACTTGAGGACGATTGTCAACGTGATCGCAGATTTCGATTCTCGATTCCGGCAGCCACGGAAATCTCTCCAGGTCAGCACAACGGCAACAAAGTCGGGAGAAAATTTCCGGCGGGGAAATGATCCAGCGATCGAAGCTCGCGGAGGAGCTTAGAGACTATCAGATCCGATCGCAGCGCAAGTATTGGGTCGTCCTCTTGTTCTTCTCTGCTAAACCCCAAATTTCCACCAGGTTCTTATCCATTCTTTTCACCCCTTCCCAATTTTATAATCCGCGAGAGAGTAGTTATTCTCTCGTTGAAATAGTGAGACATATGGCATACATGAATATTTGCGGCTTTTATTGGATGTTCATTTTCTTATTTGTTCAGATTTGAAGTTATTTTTTGATCTGATAACTTTACCTGCATTTTCGAATCTGCCGACGGTGCAGAAGCCACTTTGCTGCTGTACTAGGATGGTTTGTTTTGGCTACTAGTTGTATGGGTTATTTTGTGATGAAAAGTGTTTAAGACGATTCTATGGATCACAGGATGTTGGAGGTACTCGATATCATAAAATGGAAGTAGGTGATTCTATAGACAAATTATTGCCCGCAGATATGATCTCACTTAACCTGAAACGTCATTCAGTTTAAATTTTGTTGGTTTTGGTGCTTATGGGATCTCACAGCTTTGTTATTTGTCAAATCTTTATTGGAAAGGGTCAAACTTGGTTGATGAATGGACTAGGAAAGTGTAAAAAATTGGATAGTAGGCCCCTCGGGAGGCTAGGAATGAGGAAATCTAAATATGTAAAACCCTTTTCTTGAAGGAAGTTGATTCCAATGGTGGATATTAGAGATGCAATCATGTGTGATTCTGCCCTTGAACAATTTTGATTAGCTTGTTTGTAAATGAGTACATGTTCAATTTCTCTGAATGCAATTGCAGTGTTCTTTGATTATGCTCTTTTGTGCTTTGCATAGCCAATTTTACTTTTTCTTGCAATTAGGATGGCAAACTTTTTTGGCGGTACAGGGATATTGTTTTAGCATCCTGATCTGCTAGACAAATTAGAGTCATTTTTGTCTTTGATGAAGGTTGTATTAGATGTAATTGTTTGTTGGTTGCTTTTTTAAGATGATGGTTGAAAGGGCCTACATGCTATGATCTGACATGGATATTAGTGTATCGAAAATGCAATAGATAAACCACAATGTAATGTCTTTTTTTATTATTTGCAGGAGGCCCAAACTAGTGGTCACAATGACGCATGCTTGTCTGAACCGACGAATTGAATATGAATTCAATGAATTCTTCTTGTTTGGAATTAAACCAAAGCCTAAAATATATGTGTTAGCTTGGCACTACATCAGAGACGATTTAAAAACAAAAGATAATTAACCAATTGCGGGAGGGATTATAGCACTTTTTATGTATATAAAATGATAAATTATAAATTTATAATATTTGTTTTTTGCGCCAAGACATTATTAATGTAGCCACTTTACATTAAAAATGACTAAAAATAGGATTTTCCTTGGGAACCATCAAAACTTACACCCATTTCAGTATTCTCTTTAATTTAAATCTACTCATATATTTAGAAACTATTTATCAGGAAAACTCACCAACATAACATTTTAGCTACTCATCCACAGAAGTGCTTGAATATAAAAGCCCTTGGTTGAGTGCAAATAAGCCTACTTCATCTGGTCACCATTATGTTAAGAAAATGCTTATGGAATTTTCATATGCTTCATGCATTATTACAGTGTCACCTAGCCTCCCTCTAGGAGGTGCAAGTTATTTTCATTCCATTCTTCTCTTCTTACATGCTTTACACAAAGAGACTCCTCTCTCCATATGATAAGTATTTATTGTCTTTGGCCTGAGCTAATTTATCAAGAGCACTATAGGCAGACATTAAATAAAGCAAAGGGAAAATTCACATGGAGATGTCAAATGTAGAGATGATTCAATTATCATGAGCATAAACACACTAATATTTTTCAGTTAAGCTAATAAATGACTCTTAATAATATATTTATATTTCATTTCATTACTAATATAAGTTCTCAAACAATTACATCCACTATAAAATTAGAAACGACTTCATACATTGCAAACAAACCATAATTTACTCCACTTTTTCTAACTATGCTTTCAAGAGCCTTTATATGATATATCATTCAAAGGAACAATCTTTACTTCTCTTTGCATCCTTCTATTGTTGAGGACTACCCAAATTCCTCTATATCATAAGTAATGTTTTTGTGATATTGAATTTCTATGTTGACGAGTTAGAGTCACATGATTCTCGTTCATTTGAGCTGAACAGATGGCTATGATATTTGAATCATGCTGATCTTTTACCTCAAATGTTCAAACTTTGCCTTGACACTTGAGCAAACCTTGTACTCATTGTTTGTTTAAGCTTACTGTCATATCTCAAATCTCTTTAATGTAGCTCGACATGAATCGCCTTGCCTTCCATGCTTCTATTCGCCTCTTCAACAATCTCCATTCCCATGATCATAATGTATGCATGCTTATTCTTCTTGAACTCTATTTGGGAATTTGTACACTTCAGCTGATGATCATCCTCACTGATGTCCAATTTTAAGCAGGGGCAATCTCACCATCCAATAGCAGATTTTGTGAGCCTCTTGTATTAGGTCCATTGTTATGAGAATGACCCTTTGAAATCTTCTTAGATGTTGCATCTTTATCTTTGTTGAGCATTTGATTTAGGATGTTTTGTCAAAACTCCATAAGCTCTTTTAGTCATCGTCCATCTTCTCTAGTTTGATCGATATAATCTTCAGTGTTTGGCGCTGCATTTTCATCATTAACTTTAACTATCGAGGGCTTAAACTCTTGAACGCGCCTTCAGTTGGCCATTCAAATGCATTTGGGTTCTATCACTTATCAATGAATTGTTATAGCCATTAAAATTTTTTGTCATTGCCAGGGTCTCCAACTATAGTATCATCCCCAATGTTACCTTCTTCCGTGTTGGCCTTCATTGACCTTACACAAAGCTTCTCAGGATTAGCCAATTTTATCTTACATCGGAAAGCCATCTCAAATTCCTTCCCCTTCTTTGTAATATCATCCTCAAAAACATCATTCAAATCGATCTTTTAATTGGAAGTAGTTGAGCTCTCACTTGCTTCTCTGCCTGCGCCTATCTTACACTGCATTTTCTTCTTTCAACCTTGATGAAATGACAGCACATGGCTTTATCCCTTCTTCCACTTATTTCAACCAATGATCAACATCAATATTCACATCTGTGATAAAACCTTATCATCTTTGCCCTTATTTATTTGTGCATTTTCCAACCTGCACAAGTGATTGATTGATGTTGCTGCCCTTGCTTCTGCTTAAACTTTTATGAGCTCAATTATTTGTTTGTTGACCTCATTTTTTGTGGCATTGCCTTTTTCAACAGTGCCTTCTGACCTTATTTTTGATCTATGTGATTGAACCTTTTTTTTCATGTAGAACAAACTCAAAGCCAACCAGCACTTTGAAGCTATGATCCATAACAAAATCGATAGAAAATTACAATTCTAGGGAGATTGATGCTAAAGGATGAGGAGACACCCTCACTTTTAAATCCCATAAACATTTATAGATATTAAATTGAGAGGTAAAATGTGAATAAAATTCAAATTTCAACTTGTGGATATGATCATGGACATCCATTTGTCATTTCAAATTTGACAAGTGATATTGAAAAGCGGGCAAATTGTACATTTTGCTCGATGAATATGATAAAGTTCACTCAAAGACCTTTTAGTGCATATTTGCGTTGCTTGAGTAGATTTCCTCCTAAACTTATCTTAATAAGATTTGAACCTGCTTGGGTGATATCCTTCTCTTCAAGGATGGTTTTAGTCTTCCTAAAGTACATTCGTGCTATACATGCACTATCTGGAACATATAAAATGAGTTAGCCTATAGAACGTTATTCTTTCATTGTCGGTCTAGCTATTTTTTTGGAGCACGTCCGCCCTACAAACAACTTGCAAGTTCATTAAGCTAGGTTGTATTCCTTTTGGACGCCCACAAGATATACTATTAAAATATTTTAATGGCCAATAATAGCCATTATTTATTTCTAATTATTTCGAGTTATTTCCTTTGATTTCCTTCCTTTTTCTATTTTATTCTGTTTTATTTTTTTTCTTATTTTTATTATATATTGAGTTTATTTTTTTCCTTTCTATTTGATCATGTAATGGGTATATACACCTCTCTCTGTATCAATAAAAAATACACTGTTTTTATTCTAACATATACCATATCAACCTTCATTACATTTAATAGCTCAAGATCTCCCATTTTTAAAAGTGATCCCAACAAATCACCCAAGGTACAAGCCATCTTAGCTTGTAGGCCACGCCGTTTGTCAACTAAGTTTTAGTTGCCTACCAATCCATGGAGCTCAATCCCTTGCACTTGTTGCTTATCTTTTATTCAATGTGGCACTTGATCTGACAATATTTTATCTATCGGAAACTAATTGTCGATTCAATTCGCGATTTTTATTCTTTTTATTGATTATGGGAGCTGGGGGTGCACGGACGGACTTTTATTGAAGCCATGTTCTCTCACTCTCTCTCTTTCTTGGTTATTCTCTCAATTCTTTTCTTTTTTTGTAAATTTTCTTCCTTCAAAACTTTCAGTTGTATATAGCGAAAGTGATTGGAGGAAATTTCATGATGAACCTGAAAACCTTTACCTAACCACTCCAAAACCCTTGCTACTTTTTGTGCTTATTCATTTGTCACTCTTTTTTTTCTAATAGCCCAAGTTGAAAGGCTTATCTAGGAATTTTTTTGACTCCTGAGAAATCTGACTGCATGTCACAACTGGCTCGATTATATTTCATCATCCTGTTGTTCACTTTTGAGGTCTAAATTTTGGCATCGCTTCCGGTACCCTTTTGTGTTGTTTTGATGGCATGGAGGGGGCATTTAGATGCATTACGAATCATTCATTTATGTCTGCTTTTGATGGTGTTGATGTGTGTCCCAGTTTGGTATTGCAAACTAATGCAGCTAAGTTAAGCTTGAGCATACTCTCAAATGATGCGGTTTAATTGGAAAAACAGTCAATAGAATCTCTCTTGTGCCGATTTATCATGATTGCACCTGTTGTTGGGTATTAGCGTACTAACATCTATAAGTATTTATTTTTTTGAAATAGAGGCAATTTTCTTAGAGTGGATTCCTAGAAT